CCCCAAAACCCCAAAACCCCATGACTCTCTTTTTAAAGTATCATAGGATTTATGAAATTAAGTTTATAATCTTTATAATTTTAGCTTATCAAGTCATCTTCAAGGTAGCATTTCTTTTGATAGAGTCTTTGGTTATATGATAGCCATTACAAAATAGGTTTTGCATGTGAATCCAATACCTCTTCTCGTCAGTAACATCCCTACCCTTAGGAATCCTACTCAGATTCACAATCATTTCATTGTCCCAGTCAAATATTTCATTGAAGTAATTTACCTCTCTTTGAATAGATTCAAGAGTTTTGGTCTAGTTAGAACTAAAGCAACTGAAGTCATCCTCACACACCTCTAGGAACATTGTGCGGAAACACACCATTAATGTCATGAATCTTCTATATACTTGGATCATTGATTTGCCCCTTACCTTAGCTGAATCTATTTAACCCTTGTTCTTAATAAAGTTTTCAAGAGTTATGAATCTATTAAGAAGTGCTTCCTAACCTGCATTCTCAATCAATCTCTTGATTGATATGAAGTTGCTCTCGTTATTTCTCCAGTGATCATAGATAAAAGCACTAATTTGAGTATCTCTGACTTTTTCATCAGGCAATTATGCGATCTGATCTTCAGTAAGGTTATTAGGCAAGGCAATATCATTAAGGTGATTAACTATAGGGCTTTCATTTCTTCCCTTGATCTGCAATGTCCTGACAAAGAAATTTTACTCATTAAAGACCACCATTGCAGAGTCAAAATTAACAACTCCGTTTCCTGCCACAAATGCATCTCTATAAATTCTTGAAATATCAATTTCAGTGATTGATGGATCAAACTACTCCATGATTTTTCTAAAGCCTGCAAAGCATATGTGTCCCTTGTTATTAAAGGAGTCCTTGGGTTCTTCTTCAAATAATCTCTTAAGCAGTAATATTCTAATCTTTTTCTCTCTTCTATAGTACTCAAGCAATATTCTTAGCACAAGGCCTTAATCTATTTGCCAATAATCCATAACCTTAGGTTTCTCATTATGCTTATTCCCAAAGATATCTCCAAAGTCAAGCTCATCGTCTTCAGTTTTAAATACAGGAGCTCTTCTAGATAGACTTTTAAGTCTAGACTTAAGCTTAATAGTGTCCTCTTAAGGCATCTTTTCAAATAGATGGTCTACAAATTCATTGACTCTATCTAGATCTATCAAATGCATTCTTTAGTGAGACCCTGTATCCTTTAGGTGGGGACCTTTAAATAGCATGTTCCTGCAATGTAGATAGTAGCATTGCTCATCAACTGCTAATTTATCCTATAAGCAACTAAATGATCTATTTACTAACCTCCAAAAATTCAACGAAAGCATTATACTCCCAGAGATTCTCATTTAAGTTTTGTGATGCTTACAATCCCAAGACTAATTAAAGCCTTAGGTTATCAGCTCTGTCTTTTTCATAAAATTCCAAACCTCTCACCATTTTACTTGTTTTATCAACACAGAAATTTCCAAGCCATGAATAAATGAAGTCTAAATTAAATTTTAGATGCAAAATTTTACCAACAAATTTTGAGGATTTATAGAATGAATAAGAGTCCTCATTAAGAACCATTTCAAAATACTTAGAATCTAATATGCCTCTAATTGTCATAAATAACCATTATTCATAAGGAGGTTCAAATATTAATTGCAGCTTTTGACTGATTACATTCTCAATCAGCATAGATAGCTTTGGCTTTGCATAAATGAATTTCTGCAAGTTAATCTAATTTACATCTATTATCTAATACTTGCCTAAGTGATCAGAATCTTATTCATTCTAATGAAGTGAGTTTTCTACAAGAACTTTATGTTCAAGCCCTGCATGACTAAGATGTATGTTTTTATTTCCTAGTTGTAGACCTAATCTGATGTTATTAGAGAGTGCATATGGGTCATCATTAAATAGTTTAAACATGAATCCCTCTAGAGATACCTAGAAATGAATTGGATCCAGATTTTATTTGCTAAATTTTCCAGATCTTATGGCTCTTTCTAATTCCTAAAGTTTCGTGGTCAACTCCTCCATTTTTTAAGCCTTTTCATTCCCCATTTATAAATTCTTATTCAACTGATTCTTTAATTCCTGAATGTAAATGTCTGTATAATAAGATTAATTTAAGGATCTTAATTACTTCTTTAATCAGCATGCTAGTTCAAATCTACTATTTTGCTTTACAGTTCTTAAATCTTGTTAGTATATTCCTTTTCTCTCTAGGTCAGTTCTCCCATTACTTTATCCTTTAGCTCTAGCTTTTCCTTGAATTATTTCACCTATAATTATATAATTAAAACTAAGGTACTTTATTAAGATTTTTGGTCCTTTCTTCGTACATCTTAATTAGCAATTTATCTTTGTTCTTGAATTCTATCTAAGCAGTCTCCTAAACTGATGCCATTTAATCATTAAGTTCTTAAATTTGAGCCATTAGCTAGTTAAGATTTTGAACGTGAGATGAACCCTTGTTTTCAGTTTCATTTATTATGTCCTAAAGTCTGTCACATCTATTAGAATGGTTATATCTTAATTTTTAAGGCTGCTTACTTAATCTCTAGCAAGGAAATTCTCGACAATAAGACTGCCTTGACCTTTTCCTAGTCATCAAACATTTTAAGGTACTCTTCTTTTTTCTCCTTGAATTCTCTTAGAGGTATCATTTTAATCTTTCCTGAATCATAATCCTATTTCTTGTAAGCTTCTAACTCTAATTCCAGATTCTTGATCTTATTCTCTAAACTCTAGACCATTCTTTCGTCATGTGATATCTTGTCCTTTTGCACAGTAAAGAAATCTTCAATATTCTAAAGAAAAATCCCTATGTTCTACTCAAAGTTTAGCAGTTGCTATAACCCTAGCTAATGACTCTCTTAGTTTTAAAACCAGTGATCTGAATTTATAAAGCTATCAATCAGAATTTCTAACTGTTTTATTATGTTTTTGCTCCCCTTTTATTTCAGATTTAGCTTACTAGTATACTAAGCTTGCATTTTCTTAATATTATTTATTGAGAACTTCTAAGGCATCTCCTTTGCTGTACTGTTATCCAGTCTCGCTGTCAAACTTAATTTACTTTAGTCCATGGTATTTTTTGTTTGATTTAGGCTTTCTAGGTTGTAAGTACTTATAATTGAAGAGACGAAAGTCTTTTAGTTTATAATCCTATTAAGATTGAAGGAGTTCTTAGTTAGATTCGCATCCTCGTTTTATCGATGGGACAGCTGCTGAGAAGGTTGCTGTCTATGAATTATTTGTGTTTTATTATGAAGATTATTTGTGCTGAAAGTCTTAGTAATGTCTTGATTGTTATTCTAACCGATGCTCAGCAAATTGTGTAAGTTACCAACACTGCCTTTACCTCTGTGCAGTCCCTAATTTTTATAGGGCATCAAAGATTTGATAGACTCAAAAGCTTCTACATTAATTCCTGCATTCAAATTTCCAATGAATTGATTTTTAACTAGATCGCTTTAAGCTATCGCCTTACTGTTTATTTTCTTGATTTTTATTTCAGAGTTATTTCTTGTAAGAACTTAGTTTGATCTCTAAGTCATTGATTTCAAGGGATCATCTTGGAGTGATTCTCTATTCGTCTTAAAATGTTAAATATCCAATTTGAGATCAATGAAATTATTTTGACTTTGATACTTGCTATCAACATCATTTTAGCTTAGAGCAGGTGGCTCTTACTGAATTCTCTTGACTTTACTGATCTCAGGCAATATCTAATAATTATTCTCCTTCATTTTAAATTAATTCAATTTTAAGCCTTCAAATTCGTATTATTTCCAGATTTATACTGACATCATGGGGTTTTGGGGTTTTGGGG